CCCGAGCGCTGCGAACACGGGCTCGAGCTCACAACCGGAGCGCGCCCGCAGAGGACCGCAACCGCCCGCACCGCTCAAACACCTGAAGGCCAGCTCAACAGCAAACCGCAAACACTAACACCCGAGACAGGAGACAGAGCGTTTTATGACCAAATTTATTTAAGTTTCATTGACTGTTTTACCGTAGGTCACACCAGAGACTGCCAAAGTCAACTAAACATTTTACATTCACTACGAGAGTCGCTCATTTGCACAACTAGTCCAAAAAACAGGGAAGGCGTGGGGTCCCCTCCCCTCCGTTTGCGTTCCGACATCGGTGAGGGGGGGACGCGCGTTCCGGCACTGAGGAGACAACCGAGCCCTTGGGTTCCCGGGGGCGCAGCAGCCCTCCCGGCTGCAAGCACTTCCAAAATCATACGCCCGCGTGCACGTGTCCCTTCACAAAACCTCCTGGAGGGACGGAGGGCAAACCGCCGCTTAACGGCTAATGCAGGAAGGAAAACCCAGCTAATTCCGCAGCAGAGGGGAGGAGGGTGAAGTTACCCAGGAGAGCGGTACCAACGCCCACACCCTGGCAGGGGCGTCGCTGCCTGGCACTCGCAGGCGCCGGGTAGACCTGGCCCCCCCGGGAGCAGGGGAAGACTCCCTGGAACGGAAACCGGGGCAAGGTAGAGCAGGACGAGTCCAAAATTCCTGGATGCACGCGAGATTATGAAGATGGAAGATTAAGCAAGGCTTCCCCGAGGTCTCTGGGGATGCTGGGAGGAAACCAGGCGTTAACAGAACGTCATCTAACTAGTGCTTTTAAAATAATTTGTTTCTGATCTAGCAAGCCTTTTGGTAATACAGATCTATGATACGCTCTGAAAATTTCCTTAATAAACACTCAAGACATTTTTCCCTACGTGAGTTACCTACAGGAGGGCTTCATTATACCATCTGTCCTTTTACTTGTCTAACCACAACCAGAGAAGTATCAGATGCTACAGTTTAAACTTTCATCATATCTGAAAGTAGGCATCTCCTTTAAAGTGTATTTTCAACATGAAAAGAGCTAAAAGTCACAATTAGGTTCCCTCGCGCCGTGTGTGTGAGGTCACCACCGGTTGCACAGCCTCCAAAGCGAAACGCCGGAGAAGAGCCACTTCGCTGCCGGGAGGGGCTGAAGCGAAGGGACCCCCCCGTTCCACTGCACGGCCCAAGACACACGCAAAATATTTTACAAGTACTGTCAGTGTCTTTGTCTAAAAAGTCAGCTTCTGGAAAATTTCAAGGTGCAATTATTTTATAAATCACAAACCATTTTTCCTTAATCTTGCCAATTTTAATGAAGAAAAAACATTAGCATTTCAATGTACAAAAGTCCAATAAAACATGATTTTTCTTTTCTTTTGTATCAGTGACTGGGTAAAGTTTGGGTTAAACTTATTCAAACAGTAAAAGTCTTCAAATTTTCCCTAATAGAAATGTTGGGGTTTTTTTTCCTGATTTGACTATAGGATAACGACAATCCAGAAATAAATAGCTATAAATACATTCATTGTTCCTATTCCAAAAATAATCACATAGGGAAGACACAAACCTGAAAATCAACTTATTGGAATTGTCTCTTTACAATGTGATATGGGCAAAGTTATAGCAGAGTGACTCAAGACAGGGGGAGGAAAAAAAAAACCCCAGCGAGTAGGGAATAAATTGGTCCAGTATTGACATTCATGAAACATACCAGTTAGCATAATTCTGCAGTTAATTCACCCTTTAAATGACACTACTCAGTTGATTTTTATTTGCTTCAGGTATACATAATGAAAGCAGTTTCCGCTGAATCTTTGCTGGGGAGAGGCAGAGCACCCTGGAGACACTGTAACAACCCCCTTCAGTATGCATGTGCGTATATATAATTATATACAAATAATCATGCATCCACACACACATTTGTATATCGACACGGCATGTGACGGTTAAATCCATCATCATTCGTCATTGGCAGCACTTGTTCCTCTGACTTGGCCTTGATTACGTAACTGTGGAGAAAGAAAATACACGATTATGCATTAAGTTTCCTCCAACGGGCAGTTTTACTATACTTCCAAGAAAAACAGGGCAGGGCAGACCAAACATCACCAGGACAGAGCAAATCGTACCAAAGCAATGCAAGACTTGCCAGGGAATCGGAATCTGGGTGCCGTCCTCGCTGGTGGAGAGCGGCTCCAGCCTCTGAGGAGCCTCACACCCATCAGCAGGATTTTAAAACTGCTTTGGCCGGAGATCCCATCTGCGGCATTAAAACTGTCACAGCGGGAACCACCAGCATCCGGGTCCGAGCCACCAACACTCGACAGCTTGCAACTCTCTGCCAACGTGCTTCCCGCAGTCCCAGTTTTAACACTCTTCAGTATTGATAAATATCTGTGTGGAACTGGATTTCAGGAACTTTACATGCCTGGAAGATGACAGTCCAGTTTCCCTCAGTGACGTGGGCTAAGCCCACCTATCACTTTGCTACTCAGTGTGCAGCAAGAGGACGCTCACTGACTTCCCTGACTCGTGCCCAAAGGCCGCTTTGCGGGCGTCAGCACCCAGCGCCAGCGCCGCGACGACACCAGGTCCCGCGCTCCGGGCTGCTGCACTAGGCAAGCACGAAGAACCAGGTGGCGTGGCCAACGCCGCGGGCGTTCTCCCACCGGGCCGAGCCCCCGCCCAGCCGGTCATGGCGCCCGTCCGTGGAGGAGGTCTCATGGACACCAAGGGCCACCTCCAGCTGTTGACCACCACGGGGTTATCAAACAGGAGGGAGGGCAGGCCCAGAAGCGTTATCCGGGTACGTGTCCGTTCAGATGACTTCTGCCAGCAATTCCCATCCGTCAGAACATAAATCACTTTTCTCCTTTTCCATCCAGCAGTTGACTTACACAGCTCGATTTGCCTCAGAACCTACAGAGAACTCCTCTAGACGTCAGCAGCCAAAGTGCCTCGAACGGAACCCTTCTTACGCATCTAAACGCAAAATAAAACCGTGAGCTACCACATAAAGAACCTGCCGCGCTGTTGGTTAGTAAGAGAGAAGTAACGATCTACACGACCAGGACTGCTTTTCCCTGGCCGGGACCAGGACCAGCCCCAGCTACCGCTGAGCTTTTTTGGAGACGGGGTATTTCTGTTTGGGTGAGGAAGCCTGGGAACCGTACAGCAGCTGTAAATGATGCTTTGTAAATTTTTAGCAGCCCGTGGTGGTTCAGTTCAGCGTGGAGCTGTGCTGCTCGAGATACCCAATGTGGCATTTCTACCCTCACAAAGACGTGAGGGAGGTTGGTCACAGGGCTGTGGCAGGGTGGGATGCTTTTCTACTATGCACCAATTAGCCGATGTGTGTTAATGAAGTAGAGGTGCTCCTCAGCTCCATGAGTCAAAAACATAAACCACTAAGTGAAAGATAAAGAAAAACAGTGAGAAAAGGATGGGCTGCGATAGCAATTAGCCAATGTGTGTTAACGAAGCAGAGGTGCTCCATGAGCCAAAAACATAAACCACTAAGTGAAAGATAAAGAAAAACAGTGAGAAAAGGATGGGCTGCGATAGAGGGAAAAACAGCAACAAAAGCAGAGGTTCTGACTACAAAAAAATCGACTTAAGATGAAGAACAGGACCAATAAAAACCAAATTGTGCACAGAATCCGAAGAGAAAGGTTAGTTCAAACCAGGCAGAAGACAGGGTGTTAATGAGAAAGGGAACAGGAACAGAAAACAAGGGATGTAAGGAAATGCAACGCTGCCAGTATTAGTTTGCTTCCTGCAGCTGCTGTTGCTCAGCGCCACAGAACTGCACCGTGCGGCACTGTCCAAAGAGCCGAGCGTTCCTCCGCAGGGAGGGAAACGTGAAGATATTCTTGCCACGTTAAGCACCTGGTCACTAAGGGCTCACCTCGCAGTGGTCCAGGCCACAAAAGAGGCGAGTCGTGGTGTGCGTGGGGTTTAATGAAGGTTACTGGTTATCACAATGGATGAAGTAGTTGAATATGAAACATAAACCCAAATTATTTGGGAGAAAATTAGCATTCGTGTTTTATTTGCCAGTGACATTTTTACCTTTAGGTTATTCTCCAATACCTCATTCACCACAAACCCCTTGAAATTGCATCATTTATAGGTGTTTGTAGATCCCCCTGTTACGACAGCTGAGGGACACCGAAATATTTTAAGAGTAGGTCCCTGCTTCTCTCACATTTCACAAAACACACAGAAAAGCTGTGTTAGTGTAACTAATCAATACATTTGTCTTGCTAAAAACTGGCTTTTTCAACAAGTAACACACTTAAGTTCCTGCCGCTAACATCTTGCACAACAAGCTATCTGAAATAAACTATTTGTATGGCTTTGCACAAGGAAATAGTAAATAAGTTTGATATTTAAGAGTGAGGATAAATGTTACACCCAGAAACACGGGTTGTGCTTAAGGTGAGAACTAAAGAGCAGCAAATATTTTGCAAAAAAGTATTGAAAAGAAGTTACTTACCAGTGAGAAATGTGACACAGAACTTTCTCTACCGGAAGACAAACATCCACAGCCCACAGAGACACAAAAGGGAAGCTCTCACGCACACAGACGTGTGAAGTGCTGCTCGCTCTCCCCAGCACACGCCGTGGATGCACTCCTCACACTGCCACTACGCTTCCCCAGAGAAACCGGGCAAGGCCTGTTTCGTTCCAAATAAAGAACTACAGGTGTGCAGAAGAGAACCCTTCCGACAAAAATCAGTTACGGAGAGGGAAGTGGTTACTCTTCCTCCTTCACACTCCTAGGAATAGGTGGCTCTAGGAAGAGGTTCTGGCATCAAGTAGAATAAAGGAGAAAACCACACGATTTCAGAGAACACCTGCCATAACCCACCCATCCAAATGCCAACGAGCGAGCACAACGTCTGCAAGAGCGAGCGAACGACATTCCTTTCCAAAGCACGTTCCAGGACCTGCCAAAGCAGACAAACCCCTCAGCTTCTGTGAGAGCTAAGGTTGGCTTTACCAGCCCAGAACACCTACCTACTCACGCACAGAACAGTGAAGAGACTTCTTCCAAATCCAGAAAACATCTCTACACAATGCAAGAGGCCCCACACAGTTAAAAGTCCAAACATGGAGCGTAACCAGCGGGGATGGAGGAGCTACAGCTAGTTTTGATACTACAAGATGTGGAAGGCACCACAAACTGCACTTCAGAACCACTTGCAACAGCGGGTCTAAAGCACCAGACAACTTGTTTAAAGATGTCTGGCAGCTGAAGTGAGCTAAATCATGCAAAAAAGCAAGTTTGAGCTGAAGACACATCGAGTCTTGAAAGAACCGAGACAATGGAAGGACAGTGACAAGGTGAATGGGTTTGGGGCATAAAGCAATTGGCAAAACGGGAAGGAAACAGAACTGCCAATTCAAAGACTGCAAAGAACTTAAAAAAAGGCAGGATTTAAAATGAGAAAGGTTCATGCCAAGGTCATGCTCTGGAAAGACAATACAGAAGAAGGCCTCCCACCTAGCCTATGATGTTCTTCTCTCTAAAAGGGAAGAGTAGAGAACGTGCCCTATGGATGAGCTTCCTTCTAGACATCAGTCCAAAGACAGATCAGACTATAATTATTTGGCCCTCACAGCCACCGAAGCATAAAAATTGACACTATCTCAAGCCCGTTAATTTTACTGACTTCCTTTCGGCAAGTGAAATTCTCAGTGCTGGTGCACTGATCAGGATGAGTGGAACAGCTGCCATGCAACACACTCAAACTTGCTGGAAGACATGTTTGAAGAGAGAAAAGTAATTAGAACTAATGACGATTAGAAAAGAAATAAAGCAAGACATGATGGAAAAGCAACACGACAGCTCTGAATTCCAGCTGACGAGTGGTAAAAAGACACCGAATGGGACTTTGTGCAATGGGTGCAGTACCATAAATCAAGAGCTGGTCGGGGAAGGCATTTGGGATTTAGTGACATCAGAAATATTTACCTTACAGCCACTTCCAGCCGGACAACACAGCACACAGCGGCCTGGTGTGCATGGGTCTGCCCAGGGAATCACTAAAGGGGCTGTCATGTTCATCAGCAATTGCCCAAACACACACAAGGGGACGGACACAACGTAACCTGCGTCAATTAATTCCCAAAGAGATTGCTCTGCAAGTAGAAACATTCTTACCGCTTCCAGCTCCTTTTGGGTTTCATCCTCCATTCTCCTAATGTCTTCCATAGTCAGATCAATCCACTTGTCAATCCAACAGAACAGCTGGCGATGAAAGTTGGTGAATATCCTTTTTTCTTGCTTTAGGAAGATAAACAAACATTAGGTAACAGGCTTACGTTTCGCCAAAGACGGGGAAGTGATCGCAGCTGCTCAGTTTGTAAACCTGTAATCCTTAGGTGTGTGCTGCATCGTGTTGCTACAGGTTCAGCCCCTCACATTCCTGGATCCCATTTAAAAGTCAGCTCATTTTTCACATGCTTTAACACGGAAAAAAATTAACAAATTTCACTGTCAGAGAGAGTTTCAAGGAAGTCCAGCAATTCACATTACTGGAAAATGCTGAGGAATCCTTTCAAAATCTGTTCTAGCTCCAAGAGAGCAGTACACAGAATAGATGTAGCCTAACAACAGCTAGAGAATTTAGCATCAACTGTATAAAAATCTACAACAGAACTGCCACAGGTTTTGTGCAGACTATTGAAAAAGAATGGCCTAATTCCTGAAAAGCTACAACGAAGGGAAGTACTTCTGACTCCAAAGGTGGCACACTGGTAATTTGTACAAAACCAACACCCCAGTAATATCTGGGATGCAATTTCAAAAACCCTTGAAATATAAATGTTTAAGATAAGGATTCCACAGCCCTTTCATTAAAGTATGATTCCGAATGCTACAGATACTCAATCACAGTATTCCACTGCACCTCTTCTACCTAAATTGGTAGGTTTCACATTTCAAACTCCCTGCCAGCCCCCAAACCCCTGTGTTATGCTGAAGAACTGCAACTTCCAGCTCAGCCCAGCTCTGGCGCCCTGGAATCTCAACTTCCGTAAAGCTGACTTGGACGATGAAAGATGCATCACACAAACCGTTCAATTTAGGAAATTACCAGAGCTGCTTCCAACTGCTCTGACAAAAGTACTCTTGTATATGCAACACAGGAATCTATTCCACCTCTAAACCAGAGCTGTGCATGTATTCAGGTACCCAAGTTGCCACCTGAAGTTCACATCTTGCTCCTCTGCTCCCAGGCTTTGCATCGCTCAAGCTGCTGACTGTCTCAACACCAACGCTGATCAAATCTAATGTACGGCCCAAAGAACTCTCTTCCCGGCAAACACTGCTGGAAAGAATCGTGTGTCAAACCTACATGACGCAGACTCTTTGCTCATACTTTCGCTTTTTTAACTTGGAAAGTTATTCTGGTACCACCAAGGAAACCCCACGGCTCTTGTGATCAAGACACAGCGGGTTGTACTGGCTGAAGAAATGAACAGAAACTGCTTGACTGCAAGCAACAGGAAACTTCCTCGCTGTTTCCCCTCAAACACCCCACCTCACCAGCACCAATCCCTCCTTCCCAGGCACAGCCCAGCAAGGGAGAAGCACTTACCTTTTGTATAAAGTTTTCGACCTTGTTCTGCAGCCCCCACCATTTAAATTTGATCGTCACCAACTTGTAAGCACACATTTTAGGGCACTCTTCGTCAGTTGCTAGCTCCTTCTGTTTATGGATGACGAGAAAGAGTTGTTAATTTTTTAAAAACTCACTTCAAATTAATTAAACTATTATAGATTATAATTCTAAGTATTATATTAAAATTCTAAGTTATAATTAGAGTACATTACTTTATTACAATTATAGATTAGAATTCTAAGTATTATCAGAATTCCAATAACACTCAGAATTCCAAGTATCAGTAAACAGTACCGTACTCTGAACAGAGGGTAGTAAGAATTAACAAACAGGTTAAGTCTGCAAGGCAATTCCACCCATGCTGCAAGCACACTATAAAGCCTTCCCAGGCACTTCACGCTCACGATTCCCACTGTAACGTTCTGGAAGGACAAGGAAGCTTGACTACAATAGCGAGCACCAGTTGGTTTTTTTTTACTTTTGGGTGCATTGTGCAAAGGCAATTTTAATCGGAGTTGTACCAAGTTGCTCAGTACAATGTTGAAAACACACGTACTAGAAAAGATTCCGGTAACAAAAAGCACCCCTCAAGTTCACTCCTCACAAAAGCACGGAACGTGAGCTCGGTGCCGTTCTGCTCTGCCCACACAGACGCTGGCACGCTCTCTCCCTCTCCAGACAACGCCAGAAGGGTATGTCTTTTCCCTGGTGAGGAGGTAATTTCGAGTTGTGGGGCATAATTTACATATTCATTTTTGCATGATGAATCACGGACTTTCTGACTGCTACTATGAGAAATACAGGGAGAGAACCTCTTTATCATCAATGGCAACAGGTGGCCAAGGACCCACTACAGCTCCACCTCAAAGACTGCTTGGAAGCAGCTCAAGGATTTTGTGCAAAAGAAGGATCCCCAGAAGAATGAACTGAGGGAAATTGAGGAGACACCACCACCATTTCCTAGAACTCCTCATTTTTTATTACAGTTCCTACATCCCAGAGAAGCTGTGGATGCCCCAGCCCTGGGAGTGTCCAAGGCCAGGCTGGATGAGGCTTGGAGCAACCTGATCTAGTGGAAGGTGTCCCTGCCCATGGCAAGGGGGTTGGAACTAGATGATCTTTAGGGTCGCTTCCAACCCAAACCATTCTGTGATTCTATGATATAACCAATTCTGAAATACCCGTAACGTCATACACGGTGATTCTTCCACAATTCATGCAGTCAAATTTATGTAATAGAAGAGACCACATCATATTTTTGTTTAACAAAGCACGTTAGCTTACTCCAAGCCTTGTAAAAGAGGAACAACAAATAAGGAACTGGGGGAGGAACCCCAAAACCACAAACCAAAAAAGGAAGCTGATAGTTACTTAAAAACAAAATAATCAAAAATCTGTGTTTGGCTAGGACAACAAGCAATTACTACAAGTTCACGGATTTTTGTTCTTTATATCTGCAACAAACTTATAAGCAGAAATACTTTATGGCATCTTGAAGCTAGATTTCTTTCAAACATGAAACACACAACTCCCATGGGCCACGCACACAGTCAAGTTAGATTTAACATATAAAAACCATGGTGAATAATGCTTTTTTATTTAACACACATTTTTTGTCACAAATACTCATCACCAGAAATCACTTAAATGAAAACCAATTATCCTCAGAAGACCAAGGTTCCATTCACGAACAAAAAACAAAGTGCTGCTGTTGTTTGGCGTTCCCAAACAGCATCAGTCTATGTCCAGGCATTAGTAAAAGGACAGAACATACGAACCCAGTGCTGCCGGTTCCAGGCAAAGTTCTCATTCTACAACTGGTTGGTGGGTTTGGTTTTCTGGTTTTTTTTTAAAAAAAAAAAAAAAAAACAAAAAAACCAAACCAGTAATTCCCCACTTTCTTTAGGTCACACAGGCCCAAACAGGGCTAGCCTCCTGCTTCCTTCCTGAGGAGGAAGGAGAACAAACATCTAAGGCAGGATGCACATTTTCAGCATAGTTTACAAAAATAAACCCTGTGACAATTCCACCCTGTTGGCAGGAACACTTAGCCCAGGTAGAAAGAGTTTTACACTAATGGAGTCTGAATACACGCCTCTCCCCCTCCCATCATCTTGAAACACACCATATACTAGGTTTTTCATGAGAATACAGCTAATGCTTGGGCCCAGGACAAACCTGCAAATAAAATATACACATGTACTACCTCTTACCCAGCTCTAAGAAATACACAGTTAAAATCATTTAAATATAAGGAAGTTTCCAACTGATTTTTTGCATTTTAAGTCACCTCCAGTGTCCACCACAGCAGGCTGATGGCTTGCATGGAATTGATCATCGTCTATAATCAGGCATCAATCTTAAGTAAGGATAATCATTTAAACTGCATAGCTCTGATTTTAGTAGTGATATTAAACAAGTAGCAGACAGTACCTTTGCTTACTAACACATCTGGAACCTTAACAGAATAAAAAAGTATTCCACCTCTGCCCTTAAAACATGAAGACTAACATTGCTAGGGCTAGTCTCTAAGGAACTGGGACGACTTCTTTCTGCTGACAAAGGCTTCGTAAGGTGGTAACATCAGTTCTTAGTACCTTCCAATTTGCCCCCAAAGGTCCTCTCTTTGTCTTAATCGACTGGAATAACGCAGGGTCCTCATCAGCTTTGTAGTCCTGTGACATAAGAAAAACGGAGAGTCAGAAGAGCACCCAGGTTCAGTATCCCCCTGTATCAAGCTGCTGTTCGAGACTACCGAATGGATTCTCCCGAGCGGTCTGGAGCAGGACGGGTGGAGCACATCTGTTAGGCTGACTTAAGTTTGCATTGAACACTCCATCAGGCCTCTCATTATCTGTTTACACTACCACAGCTCGCCAGGGCTGCCTTCTAGGCCAGAATTTTCTTGTGCTGCACACTGGGTGACATAAGCACTATCAGTTTTGTAAACTTCTGAGGGGAAGAGAAAGCAACAATACAGAAACTGGAGTGCTAACATCTTCCAAGCTGCAACATATGTCCTCTCCTGAGAAACAAGAGCAGAGAGGGAAGAAGGTGTAAGTGAGCTGAACGTGAAGGTATAAGCTGAGCATGAGCTGGCCGTGTG